CCCCCCCCCCCCCCCCCCCCCCCTCCCTTGCCCCCCTCCCCTGCCACCCTCCACTCTCCCTGTTGCGTGCTCCTCATCCTTATCCGCACGATGATGGTGGTCTCCAATGGTCGTGGTATCTCCGATGATGGCGGTATCTCCGATGGTGGCGGTGTCTCTGATTGTGGTGGTATCTCCGATGGTCGTGGCATCTCCGATGGTCGTGGCATCTCCGATGGTGCTGGTATTGTAAACCATGGTGACGGATCGATCTCCGCAGATCATGTCCTTTCACAGGCTGAAGCTCATGTGTTCCGTTGGGGGCGTCAACGTCAACCGGGATCTGAACCAGCTCAACTCGGGGGCCCCGGACATCATGGTGGCGACGCCGGGAAGGTAAAGACGAGGTCTATACCCCTTACCCATTCCAGATGTTTTGTTGTTGTGGGCGTTGGTGGTGGTGTTTTTTTGCCTTGGTTTCTTTCACGGGACTGCTTTGGTCTGTTGAAGTGAAGAACCGAGGATGACTTCATAGTGGTGTTTTCAACCTTGCCTGACTCGCGAAGCTCCTTGATCTGTAGGAGAACCAACGATCACTTTGCCTTGACTCGTTGAGGCTCCTTGATCTGTTGGAGAACCAACGACTTCATTCAGTACTACTCCTAGTGTTTTTCGACCTCGCCTTACTTATTCCCTCGCCTAATCCTCCAGGCTCCTTGATCTGATGGAGAATCACGGCTTGGGGCGAGACATGAGGGACCTCGACACCCTTGTTTTCGACGAGGCTGACCAACTCCTCGAGATGGGCTTCCGCCCTGCCATCGAGAACATCCTCAGGAACCTGCAAGCGAGCAAGGTGACAAGAGGAGAAATATTAAATGTATTTTTTTATTTACAGTGATTTTTTGGTGTGTAGAGGAAAATTTTGTAGCATACTTCCCGTGAACCGAAAGTGAAGAAATTTCCGGGAAATTTCAGCAACACACACGTACGTACACACCCGGTTGATCCTCAGCCGACCGACGATCTTCCTGTTCTTATCCGTGCCATTCTCATCCAACTGTACCTTTTGACTGATGTATTGACTGATGACCTCTTTTTCCGTGTCGTTGGCATCCAATTGTGCCTTCTGACTTAGACCTCTTCGTGCGTATCGTTCTCATCCAATTGTACCCTCTGACTGCTGCCTCTTTCATGCGTATCGTCCTCCTCCAATTTTACCTTCAGACTGCTGCCCTTCTTTTACCCTTGCCGTTCTCATCCTATTGTACCTTGTGACTGCTGTACCTCTTGTGCCCTTGCCGCTCTCCACCCAACGCGGTACCTTCTGACTGCTGTACGTCCTTTCGTGTTGATTGGGTTGTCATCCCTGTACACCTTTCTCATCGAATCGTGCCTACTGCTGTACAACCTCTTTTTTGTGTTCCTGCTTTTGTTGGTCGCGCCTGCCGTGTCTTGGCGTGGCATGGCGCGCCAGACCTATCGGCAGACCCTAATGTTCAGCGCAACCATGCCCGGAGACGTTCAGGCCATCGCTAGCATCGCCATGAAGCCAAGCTACGAGGTCGTCGACTGCGTTGGGGAGGAAGAAAACACCCACCAGCACGTCCCGCAGAAGTGAGTGGTACAGTACGTCTTCCATGGGTTTTTCATTGTACGTTTATGTTCACCAGCACATTCCGCAGAAGTGAGTGGTCGGGGAGGAAGAAAAACACCCACCAGCACGTCCCGCAGAAGTGAGTGGTACAGTACCTCTTTCATGGTCTTTTCCATGGTACGTTTTATGTTGACCAGCACATTCCGCAGGAGTGAGCGGCACCGTTTTCCATGGTACATTTTTGCTAGCATCAATGTGTGCCTCTTTCCCGCACTAGTGAGTGGTACCCTGTTCCACGGTCTTTTCCATGGTACGTTTATGTTCACCAGCACATTCCGCAGGAGTGAGTGGTACGGTTTGTCATGGTACAAATTTTCTAGCAAATGTTTGAGTGCCTCTTTCCCGCACAAGTGAGTGGTACCCTGTTCCATGGTACTGTACGCTCGCGTACCTTTTGTTAATGGTACGCTTGTGTAAATAAGAGTTCCCACCAGAACACTCAGCACATCCGCAGAAGTGCAGGGGTTCCCACTGAGGCGTTCCGCAGAAGTGGTACCGTTTTCCGTGGCACGTGAGTTCCCACCACGACGTCCGGCATACGTGAGTGGTTATATGCACGCCTTTGCCCTTGGTAGCTATGTAGGGGTTCCCACCGAGGCGTTCCGCAGAAGTGGTACCGTTTTCCATGGTACATTGAGTTCCCTCCACCACGTCCTGCATACCGTATACGACACAAGATAACACACCCCCTGGACCGATTTTCAAGCTCGATTACTCCACGACCAAGAGGATGTACGAACGAAACGATACGTTTTCGGAGAGATCTCGACCAGCAGGCTTCAACGCCGCCGTTTTCGGCACCTCTACTCTCTCTGCTGTTGATAAGTCGAGCTTTGAAAATCGAGCCAGGGGGTGTGTTATCTTGTGTCATATACGGTACGCAAGGGTTACGCCTATGCCCTTGGAAGTTATGTGGGTAGTTTTGTAATAGGGGTTCCCACCAACACGCCGCCACGCGAAAGCGTGTGGTACCTTTTTTCCATGTGTGTATGTGTACTTGAGCAGTGGCACAAGGTGGTGTGGGCTATGCAACCCAGATAAAAGCGACGCATAGAGTGCAGAGAGGCGAGCGGAGTGGCCTAGACTATCTGTCGTTGACTTTTATTGGCTTGCGGACCCTTCGGGTCCATTTTATTTTCGTATACCTTTTTTTGGGTAAGTTGGCCTGTGACCACCGGAATCGATCCCGTCAAGTGCTAGACTAGTACGGACAGAAGAAGGTACCGGGCAGAAAGAACGGAACGGCTTTTAATGTGAAGACAACAACAACAACATGCTGACACGTTGGCTTGCGGACCCTGCGGGGCCATCTTATTTGAGTATACCTTTTTTTTTGGGTGAGGTAGCGTGTGACCACGGAATCGCTCGGTAAAGTGTCTGATCAGTACGAACAGAAGAAAGTACTGGGCCGAGATATCGGAACGGTTTTTAATGTGATGACAACAGCAACAGGAACATATTTTGATGGTGTTGTGTGTTTGATCAGTAAGGACAGATGAAGGTACTGGGCAGAGAGATCGGAACGGTTTTTATTGTGAAGACAACAGCAACAGCAACACATTTTGATGGTGTTGCGTGGCACGTTTGTTTTTCCGTCTGTCTGTCCGTTGATCGTTCTCCCGACAAAAAACAAACAAAAAACAAACAGGTTTGCCGTGGTGCCGATGGCGGAGCAAATACCCCGACTCTTGGCGACGATCCTCAAGGCTAAGGAGGACCCCGACCACAAGATCATCGTGTTCTTCGTGGCCGCGAGAATCGTACAGGCAAGTCAGTCGTTTTATTTGTGGTCAATCGAGGGTACAGCAGTTGTCGTTGATGGGGGTGAGGATCGTACAGGCAAGTCAGTCGTTTTATTTGTGGTCAATCGAGGGTACAGCAGTTATCGTTGATGGGGGTGAGGATCGTACGGGCAAGTCAGTCGTTTCATTTGTGGTCAATCGAGGGTACAGTACAATTAGTAGTAGTAGATTGTGGGGATGTTTGGACTTTGTTTTATATTTATGGCCGATCGAAGGTACAACAGTTATCGTTAATGGAGGTGAGGATCGTACGGGCAAGTTTGTCGTGTTATGGCCAATCGAGGGTACAACACCAGTAACAGTAGTTGATAATGGGGATGAGGATCTTCCAGGAGAGTCGTTTTATGGTCAATCGAGGGTACAACAGTTCGGTTGACGGGGATGGGGATCGCACAGGCAAGTGAGTCGTTTTATGGCCAATCGAGGGTACAGCACGTAGTAGTATAGTAGTTGATTATCCGGATGTTCCGACTTTGTTTTAAGATTGTAGTACCATAGTGTACCGCACAATCATTGTGGGACTGCCGTGTTTATCACATGCAAGTCAGTCGTTTCCTGGTCAATCGACGGTACAACAACAGTTGATGTAGGTTGAGGGGATGAGGGTTGTCCGGGCGTTCTTTTGTGGTTAATCGAGGGTAAAACAGCAACATTACTTGATGATGGGGGATGTTTCGGCCTACTATGTAGTTTAACGAGTCTAGTCGCAAATCCATTTTGCAAATCCTCTGGGGCTCTGTTTCTGTAGATGGCCGTTGTCCAACCACAAGAATAGATGAGCAACGAAGTCACAACATGATGTCCAACTTGCGTTTCTGCGGTTCCTCTTTTTGCTACCCACGACGATAAAAACCAACACAGCTGCACGCCGAGCTATTCACCCAGATGGGAGTAGACGTGCTCGAGACCCACTCGCGGAAGTCGCAGGCGGCCCGGACCCGCGTCGCGGAGGCCTTCCGCAATGGCAAGGGTCAAATCATGTTCACCAGCGACGTGTCGGCGAGAGGAATGGACTACCCCGACGTGTCTCTCGTCATTCAGGTGGGGGTGTTACTCATACTCATAGCCGTGCATGCCGTAGTCGTTAGACCATTAGTCATGCGTCCTCTCGAGAGGACTGAGCATTGTTCCCACGGGACCGATCACCGATGGTCAATCGTTCTTTCCTGGGGGGGGTGGAGGGGGGGGGGTGGGGTACTCATAGTCGTGCAGGCCGTAGTCGTTAGACCATTGACCTCGCATCCCTACAAAGCCGGGACGGAGCACGCCGGGTTCTCACCGGAACAGGCGCTCACATCACCAAGCGCGAAGCGCCGTGAGGTATTCGGCGAGTCGCATCAAGGGTGCGCTGCATCCTGCTGATGGTGCTCGGCATCTTTAGGGGGGTGGCTTTTTTTCAGGGTTGTTCACGGAGTAGAATCGCTCCGCGGAGCTTTTTTTTTCGTTTGGAATTTTTCACGGAGCGGTTTTTGCCTTTTGTAATAGTCAAGGAGCGGAGCGGTTAAACCCAGTGGAAAAGTCTCACGGAACGGAGCGGGATTGCGTGTTGATGCTACGGACCGGAGCGGCGCGGTTAATCAGCAGTCCGATTTTTTCACGAACCGCGCATAACCGAGGCCTTGAGGACGGTGCACCGTGAGAGAAAACCCCGAAATCATCCGGATATCCGTACAAATGTCGTCGTCGTCTGCATTCTCGTCTGTCTCACTTTCCGCTTGTCCTTGGTTTTTTGCCCCGCCCACTCGGTTCTCTTTGTGGAAGGTCAGTCTCCGGTCCGATCCGATTCAACCTTGCTTTATTTTGCGGTAAATACGCGTTTTCCTTTGTGAAAGGTCGGCGTCCCGTCCGATGCCAACTCGTGTTGCGGTCATTTACGCGGTTTCTTTGTGGAAGGTCACTCTCCCGTCCGATTCAACGTTGCCTTTTTTTTGCGGCAACTACCCGATTTTGTGATAGGTCGTCTCCAGCCCGATACTAATTTTTTTTTGCGGGAATTACCCGGTTTTTCTTTGTAGAGCGTCGGTCTCCCGTCCCGTGCTAACTTGTTTTGCGGTAATTTCGCGGTTTATTTGTGGAAGGTCGGTCTCCCGTCGGACACTAACCAGTACGTTCACCGCCTGGGCCGTACCGCGAGAGCTGGGAAGGGAGGCAGCGGTCTCTTGGTCCTTGCGGAGGCTGAGAAGGGATTCATCAGGGAGGTACGTTGTTGGATGTTGCTGTTGGATTTTGCTGTTGGTTGTTGTCAATGTTGTTGTTGTTGTTGTTGTTGTTGCTGTTGCTGTTGCTGTTGCTGTTGTTGTGAGTGATGCTGTTGGTGTTGGTGGTGGTGTTGGTGGTGGTAGGGGTGGGGGTATTAGCTTGACGTGGACAGCCAGCCTGGCCAGTCTGCAGCACTTTTCCCCTATTCTACATGTACATCCACTCTGTCAAGACAGCAGCGTTGTTGGTTTTACGATACAAGTTCAACAATCCCCAATGTCAACACCGGCGGTTTGCACCTATGTTTTCGGTTTTTACAAAGTTCTCTATCACAAACGTCCAAACTAGTGCTTTTTTTTTCGAGTAGTTTTCACTACCCACTATTGACTCGGAGAAACGTGTGTTTTTGTGGTGTGGTGTTTTCGCGTTTTCTTCTTCGTTGTTTTTTTTTCGCGTATATTTGTTCTTCTGTCGACCATTTGTCACTCCTCCCTCTTTACTCCGAGAACCGTGCGGTTTACTGTCGTGTTTTTTTGTCGCGTGTTGTACTTCTATTTGTTTTTGCAGGTGGGAGATCTCCCACTGGAAGAGGATGAGCGAATGGATCCGGGCACTATGATAGAGGCCCGGCAGATGGTAGCGGGAGCGGTACACCGCGTAGACCCGGTGACCGTCAGCAAGGCTTACCAGGCGTGGCTGGGGTGAGTGTGAGATTGCCGTCGATGACTATTCTGTTGTTGCTGTTGGTGGTGTTGCTGTTGGCGTGAGATTGCCGTCGATGACTATTTTGTTGTTATTGTTGTTGCTGTTGGCGTGAGATTGCCGTCGATGACTATTCTGTTGCTATTGTTGTTGTTGCTGTTGGCGTGAGATGGCCGTCGATGACTACTCTGTTGTTGTTGTTGTTGTTGCTGTTGTTGCTGTTGGTGTTGCTATGCTAATGATTTGACGCCTGGCTACTTCTTCAAATTTCCGTTTCCATTTCTCGACATTCTCCTTTTTATGTCTACCCTGTTGCTGTCGTTGCTGCTGTTGTTGTTGTGCTAAACGAAATGCGCTTTGACGCCTGGCTACCATTAAAATTAGATTGCCTTTCACGTCTCACAATTTTCCTCCTTCGATGGCGTGTGTTTTTTTATCTCCTTCACTCCATACCAAAAATAGTTTCTACAAGGGTGCCCTCAGGAGGCTGAGGTGGACACCCGGAACCCTCGTAAGCTCGGCCAACTCTTGGGCGGTGGATGTCTGGGGCCTGGCGTCCCCGCCCCCCCTCCAGGCCAGAACTATCGGGAAGATGGGCTTGAGAGACGTTGACGGTCTCGTGATCGACAGAACCCCGCAAGAGCCGAGGGGAGGGGGGGGAGGTCGTGGCCGCGGAGGGGGGGGTGGTAGGGGGGGACGCGGCGGTGGTGGGCGCGGGGGGGGGAGGGGTGGGGGGGGAGGGGGCCGGGGACAGCGGCGCAATATGAGCGGGGGGGGACGAGGAGGCGGCGGGGAAAACGGTTACCGGAGAGGGCCGGGGAGGGGGGGGGGTGGTGGTGCGGGGTCTGGCGTTGGCAGGGGGGGTGGGGGGCGAGGCGGTATGCGGTAGATTTACGTTAATGAAAATAATTTAGTGGGTGGGGGGTCGCCGGTGTTTCAGACCAGGCCCGCTGCCGAGAGGTTGTTGTTGATGGTGGTACGCATAGGGGTGTGTGGCTGTGGAGGGAGGATGCCGATCTTAGACCTCGACGTCGATCTTCAATCTCGTGACTTGTTCCGTTGGTTTGAGTTGCTGGGTTTTGGTTGGACCGCGGAGGTTAGGATTGCCGAAGGCGGTGGTACGATGCCAGATTTAGCGATAGACTTCCCCCTTTAATACAGTCATGACATGGGTAGGGTGGTGACGGTGGGGGTACACGGCCAGGAAGACCGGATTCAGCGATAGGCTTCCCTTTTTACGTGATCCTGGGCACCGTTGTGTTGTTGGTTGGGGACGGAAAGCAACCCGAAAATCTGAACAGTTCACGGCAACGTGTGGCGCGTTCTCCTCTGTCTGGCCATTCATGCGTATGTCGAACGTGCTTGAAGTTGGTGGGGAGGTGGCGAACCGCGTGAGAGAAAAAATGATGACCATTTCGCGATACTGTATGCATACCTGGCGCAAAAACTGTCCCTATATGCTGTCTGGGGAATCTTAGACATACAGGTACTTTCTGACGCTATGAATTCATTGCTAATCTGTCTCAAGACTCTTTTCTATGATAGATTCGTTGTGTCATATTAAGAAGAGAAAAAAAAACTGTGTTGCCCCTGCGCCGAGAACGCGACCGTTTGGAGGTGAAAGTACGACAGTTTCGAGATGAAGTACGACAATTTCGAGAAGAAGAACAAGATGGTTGCTACCGCAGCAGTTGTGCTGCACGAGTGTTCGCGTTCACTCATGGCGTTCTGGTTCTTGGTAACTCATTCATGATCGTTACGGGAGGCGAAGTGGCACGGCATGTACATTTATTCAGGAACAACAACGTTGCACCAAGGTTTGCCCCTTCTGTGTCGTTTCGGCCTCGACTCGCGGTTTTTGCGCATTGCATAGCGTTGCGTTTTGGGTACAAGAGGTGCAGTATCCACGACAAGATCAAGGCGTCCATAGCCAGTCGCTGGCGGGCGTGAACCGCGGACATTTTTTTGGGTCCAGGGGACGCGTTGCAGCGTCGTCGACGCGCAAGCGTAGCGGCAACGATGCAATACACGCCCCATCTACGGTAGGTTGCGCAAGATAACACACCCCCTGGGCGAAGTTTCGAAGCTCGATTTCTCTGCAGCAAAAACAACAATGAGGGTGCCGAAAATGGCGGCGTTGTAACCAATGCTTCGAGGGAACGTGTTGTTTTCTCGATTTTGTACATCCTCTGTTATCTTCGTGTGGAGGAATCGAGCTTTGAAAATCGGTCCCATCTGTTCTGGCGCCAGCCTGGCGCCAGCCTACAGTACATGTGTTTTGACGCATCAGTCGGGATCACACAGGAGGACGGGAGCTCACACCCCAGACAGAAAGATTCGTTTCGTTATTGCCCCGTGTATTTTATCTTTTCTTAGTATGACCCAAAGAATCTATCTCTATTCCTACAAAATAGAGTAGTCTAAGATAGATGAACATGCGATGAATCCATAGCAGCGTCAGCGGGGGCTACCTGTATTGTAATTCCACGTTTGTGTTCCCTCCTGCGGTGCTTCTTGTTTGTTTTCACGACAACGGTCTTCACGCCCATCCCTCGAAAACAGGCGAAGAGCTGCAATACCCCTGGGCAGTGCACGCAACAGAAGAGGTTCAAGCCCCTATCCAAAGGCAGGAACTTAGGAATAATAACAGCTGCTAGTTGCCTTTTGTTGGGCCTCGCCATGTAGGGCACAAAAGTAACAAGGATGCGAAGGAGGAACAAAAACAGCTCTTGACAGGCATATTTACTCGGCCTCGTCATTGCAAGAAGTAACAAGGAGACGGAGGAGGAACAAACAGCTGCATGTTCCCTCCACCTTTGCTTTTTCCTCGGTCGGAGTCATCAACGCAAATACAGATACATGTATGGGGTCCCTGTGCGAGGCCATACAATAAAGAAGGCATCTCGCCCTGTCTTGACGCAGCTGTATTCTTTCGACAGAGATCTCATAGTGAAGTCGATTCAAACCCACTCTGAATAGTGCCTGGTCGCCGGCATAAGGCGGCCAAATCCCTTGGGATTACGCCGGTTGACTGAGGGACCACTGCTGCTATAGGCTCAAACACCAAGGACCCAAACGAACAAACAGCTGCTGCCTCATTACTCTGCTCCGCTTCATAGTTGAAGGAATAAACAGCCGCTGTCTCGTCACTCTCCGCTTCATACGAGGGAATAAACAGTCGCTGTCTCGTCACTCTCCGCTTCATACGAGGGAATAAACAGCCGCTGTCTCGTCACTCTCCGCTTAATACGAGGGAATAAACAACCGCTGCCTCATCACTCTCCGCTTAATACGAGGGAATAAACAGTCGCTGCCTCATCACCCTCCCTTCATAGTTGAAGGAATACCATAAGACGCGGAGATATGGCACCCCATCTAGACCAGCTGATCTAGACCGACTTCCAAAGCTCGATTGCTCATAACCAAGGCGGTACAGAAAGAGACCGACACGTCGGTCGAAAGCCGTTGATGAGATGTTTACTTCCAAACCACCATTCACGGTGTTGGCATAAGGAACAATCGAGTTTGAAAGTCGGTGTAGGGGGGGTGCCATCTCTCCGCCTCTTACGGTAAACAGCTGCTGCCTCATCGCTCTCCACTTCATCCTTCTCGGTAGGCCTTATCGACGCCTCCAAGTTCTCCACGAGGACGACGAAAAAATAGACTCTTTGAAATAGACAGATGGATTCGTTGTGTCATATTAAGAAAAACAACAACAACAACAACAACAACAACAACAAAGAACGCTGCAAAGTTATCCCGTATCTATCGGGGGCTTGCATGGACTCATCACCGCCTCCATTTCATTTTCAGCGACGATTGAAAAAAAAAAGCTGCCGAACTCCTGTCCTCCACTTTCTCGCTAGGCCTTCGCCTAGACTCGAGAAATTCCTCCGAAAAAAGCAAAAAAACCTTGCCTACTTATTTCCCATCCTCATTCGGTCGCTCGACCTGCTTGAACTTGAGAATATCCTCCGAAAAAAAATACGAGAAAAAAATGTTTCCTACGTCAACCGACGTATATATTTCTGATCCTCATTTGCTTCGCTCAGCCTGCAATTCCTCCGAAAAACAACAAAAATGTGGAGATCACCTTAATAAATAAAGGGTACAGTTTCCCAACGCATGTCGAGGACAGTTCTTGATTTCACCAACGCCGCCCCGTCTATTTCTGATCCTCATTTGCTCGCTCGGCCTGCTTGAACTTGAGAAACTCCTCAAAGGTTGGTGGTGCCGAGTATGACCCGCTCTGCTGTCTGTCGCTGTCGTCCTCCGGTTCATGAACGTCACCGAGCTGCACCTTCTCCCCTTTCTGCTTCTTGGCCGACTGCTTGTTGGAGAAAAGGAAAACGAAAAAAAGAAGCACGATGCCGGAGAAGACACGGGGAACGGC